GGAAAGAGTTATTAAACAACACAAGCCTTAGCACCAAGCAGGAGCTCGTGGACAAGTTTGACCAGCAGACCTCCACAGACCTCAGCAGAGCTGCTTATTGGCAGGGTCCTTTTGGTGCCGTAGGTCCTTGAGCAGGATGCCAGGGACTTTGCATGGCCCATGAGTGGCTTTTCATGGCATCTTTATCAGATAACTACCACCATGGGCTGGTAGATGAAGAGAAGTGAATTGTTTCTGGTATTTCCAATCCTGATGTTCTTAGATTTGAGACTTAACAGACAGCTAAGAACAAGTCCACTTAACACAGCAAAGAGAATTTTTCTAATAATACTATCTAAGAACATATTATAAACCACCTTATCATGTAGCTAAAAAGAGTAAAAAAAGCAAGGTGCCATTAAGCAGCTGGGTGAAGAAAGGGACTCAAGGGATTCAGTTCTCATGGAAATGCATGAACAAATACGGAGTTTCTATGTCATTTCACCTTTTTTTTTTCCCTTTATGGTGGTGGTTTTTTTCATTTCGCAGTTATTACAAGAGCAAAATTTTTTATTAGGTACTAGTGTGTTTGTTGCTGCACAAGACATGGAGACCAAGGTCCCACCCCAAAGCAGTTAATGTGAGCTCATGTAGGTCAAAGTTTCTTCTCCCAAGCATGAAAAGCAGCACATAATTCCTCAAAACATGCTCTTCACTCCTGCAGAACCTTCCTGTGATGAGGCAACTGATCCATCACGTTTCTAGAAAGACAGACTACATAAAATACTGTGGCAAGTGCTGAATGAGCTGAGTGAGGGAACAGGCAGGGAGGAGGAAGAGGAGTGAATCATCTGGTCTATAGATTATCTGGTCTATCCCCCAGTCACAGACAGGAGCTGGAAAATTTCCCTTGTCCTGGGAAGGCCTGGTAGCAATGGAAAGCTGCACAGCAGCTCAAGCACTACTTCTGCTACCACCCGTAAAAGAGGTATTGATGAGGACAGGCTGCCCAGGGACCTGAGGACGGCTGCTGCAGCCCCTGCTCCAGCTTTGCCCGCAAGCGCGGCAGACAGAGCGTGAAGAACGAAGGCACTGCTTCTTCAGGGTGAACAACCAAGAGATCACCAGCATCACTAGCGAGATACGGCGTGAGCTGACTGTGGTATTAAATCTGTTTTTACTTACAGCAAAATTATTACTAATAAAGCAACCTTTATTTTTTTACAGCATACCCAGTTGGATGGTGGGATTTAATTGCTTTGTTTTAAAATACATACTGTGTACGATCTGCTTTGCCTAAAACATCAGGCTGCAGACCTGAAGACAATTTATTTCAATGCTAGCGAGGCTACGGAAGATCAAACTGTCTCTTTTCTCTATTCTTCCCACACCACCCACTGCGAGGAGACCTTTCTATGCAACCGAAGCAAATTAAACTGCAGGAACAGTTCTGAAGTCATGTTTTGGCATGTGAGTTTTAATTGTACACGTATCATCTGATTCGGTCTGGGTTTGGATGTCAAGTTCACATGCTGTTGTGTAATCCAACACCCAATAACAGGAAAGTTATAGAAATTCTTTAAATCTATCAGATGTTCATATAGTACCGTTGCAAACCATCTGGTCTCACTTATCTGCTAAATCAAGATAATGGGTGGTATCCATCATTACTGATGAATGATTCATGGTAACATATCGGTATCCTCTTGACCCATAGCTGAGGTAATGCAGAGTTCTCTTTTGCTATTATTTTCCCAGAGTCCGTTGATTCGCTACAGAGTAATGACTAAAAGTCGCGGTAAGATTTCCAAAGACTGAATTCCCTAAGTAAATTTTGAGTATTTCAGATTTCATTAACCATCTTCCTCTTGTTTCTTTGGAGATGCACGTGCTTTATACGTTACAGTGAGTGTCCATCTGACCTGAATGTTAAGTGTTTTTCATCACTTTTCAGATCATGAAACCTTTTGAAGAAAGAAACTCAGTCAGGTTTTTAAGTCTGCAGCCACAGACACGGCTGTTGGCAAAAGTGTAGGCATGGAGATAAATATAAACAGATGTTTGGCGTTTATGAAGGGAATATTTTCTTTTCAATGCCCACATTAACATTAATGGGAGTTACGCAAAGGCAGTGAGAGACTATACCCCCCAATGATTAATCTAAACTTGAATGAATTGAGCGCTGTGTACAACTGATACCCGAATACAATTAAGACTCTATCGTTGATCTTTTTTATTTTTTAACAGCCCTCTAAACCAATTTTGTATTGGGTGCTGGAAGCAAATTTAACAAATATAAATATAGGACCAAATCTTGCCAGCTGCTAAAAATGTGTGCAACTCCCACTGACTTCAGCCGAAGCATATGCATATGGAGGCAGAATCCAACCCTTAGTAAATATGAAATTATCAAGATAATAAAATAAATTACTTCTGTGGTGTCAATTCTTTAATTCTTTATAAAGCTCCTGATTTGAATATGAAAGCTGTTGGTTAAAAGATGTAGGATTATTCCCATACTCAGTTAAAGCTGAATTATTTGGAACATTTTTTTCACAAGATGCTGTCAGGAACAGCTTGATTGCTATCTATACTCTCTCAGCTCCTCTCTGCAGCAACATTAGCAGTTGTCACATGGAGAATTATGAAGTCTCAAAAACTCTCTTTATAAAACTACCAATTTTAATTACTGGAATTGCCAAACTGGTTTCATACCAATAAGCTTGATATTGTTGTCTTCATCTAGCAACAGATTTTCTATCTTCAAGTCTCTGAAAGAAATAAAATATTTTGAGTGAGCCTCCAAAATAATGAAGCAGCTTCCCATCACTCCCATCAGTGTATTTACAAGATTCATATATAATAACGTGTGTAATGAAAGCAGCGCACACAGGTCCCCATTCAAAGCAGAAAGCCCCATGCATTGTCTCCTCTCCAAAATTACCAGTGCTTTCACACACAGTTTCACACCTATTCTTCAGGCGCAAAATGACTTTATAAACATGTGTCAGTACATCCTGTAATTAATCAGGTTCTTCACATTTCTCACATACTTAAAAGTTTGCAGAAATCTTATACGCTGGAAACATTTCAAATATATGTTTTTGGAATTGGAGGTCACTTTCTCATTACTCTTCACAACCAAAGGCTCTTCACTGGCCACAGCTGAAGAATAAACCTTCTTCTGCAGAGATCTGAGGAGTCAAATGTCTGTCCTCTGCTATTGTCTACAAGGGAGACCAACTTTCCCTGCGGATGAAGCATCTAAACTCCTTATAGAGGTGGTCAGCATTGGTACTCCCATACGATAGAGGTGGAAACTGAGGCTGAAGGATTGAAATGACTTGCCCAATGCCATCCAGAAGGCCAGTAACAAAGCCGAGAGAAGAAGCCACACAGGTTTTCCAAGTGCCATGTTAGAGCTTTCTCCACCATGCCACCCTGCCAGACCACACAGAGCCACTGCACAGATCAGGGCCTGGACCAGTTCCAGGAGAGAGAGGGTAAAATGAAAGCGGCCTGCTTCTACAAGACGACCAACCCTTCTTCTGATATGTACGTCAGCACGTTGTTCACTTTACATGTGCCCTTTCATCACTTAAGAACGTGGCTGTGCTTTCCTAAGCCATGTTCTACCTAGAGAAAAATATCCCAGAGACCAGCCCTACACAACAACACCCCAAAACCCCAAACGGTACAGACTAAGCATTAAGTATAATATGAAAAAATCATTTAGGTTGCTACACAACTTGTCCATGACTTGTAGCAGCTGGCTGCATCTTTATCACAAGATTTTTTCCCCCATCCAGACATAAACTATTTCTAACAATCAGCATGCCAAGGTATCAATAGCTCAGACGGGCAGTGACGCTTCTGCCAGCACGCTTTGGAAAAATCTGGATAATAAAGCCATCAGCTATAATTATGGGAAGTCAGTGACATCCATGGTATTTTGTCTTTGTAAGGCAAAGGCAGTAATGACAGATGCCTCTATTACAGATGAAGATATAAGGCTTAATAAAATAAGACAAGTAAACCAACCAAACCAAACAAAGTACTTCCACAAGAAGGGATCTGGGAAAGAAAGAAAAATAGCTGTGACCAACTCCAAACCTTTTTTAAAACATTCCTCTTCATTTCACTTTATGCCCATGCTGTGTTTCAAATAAACCTGAGGCAGAAGAGTACTTGCAGGTAGGATGCCACTCACTTCATCAATACGACCACAAGGACCTTCTCCAAACAAATGTTTCTACACCCCAGTGAGCATTTCTTGCAGATTTTCCTTGTTTCACGTGTGAAAAGAAATAGGGGAAATACTATATAAAGTCTATCGAAGGAGACGGTTTTGCAAATTTCAGGTATTCAGGGGCAATATCCAGGCTTTCCTAGAGTGTCCAGCCAAACGCTTCCTGAGGAGAGGACTGCCTTCTGCACAAGTCCTCTTCTCGGAGGAGCAACATAACTCGGTCAATAAGGCACCAGCCTGAGAGACAGGAGGAGGGGATTATGTTCCCTCCTCTGGCAATAAGCTGGTGTGTTAACTTGAGGAAACTAGCCATGTTAAAAGTGACAGTTGATTTCAAATACCATGGCAGAGAGGTAACCACATTTGGTGGTGTTTTGACCAAGACCCAGCCTACAAAGAGCCCACTCTCCAGGCCTGCTCCCGCTCTGAGGGTGAGCACGGGCTCCAGGCTGCACACTCCATAAGCCTGGCTGGCATCCACGGCATCCCCCTCCTCATCCTCTGAAGACTCCACGTGCCACGACTGCGCTGCAGACCCACGGCCCTGCGTCCTCCAAAAGGAGCTTCCCTCATAGGACAACCGCTGCCGCTGAGAAATGGCTTGATACAAGGAGGACGTGCCCTGCCAGCTGGATCTGGATCAACCCACTTCTGCTTCCCTCTGCTGCCAAAAAAGGGCTTACTTCTTCACGTCTCATGTCTTTATTGCTTGCAGGTGGAGGTTTTCACAGACAGTGCAATTAGAAAGATATCGGGGCCAGGAATTTAACAGGAGAGACTGCCAAAAAAACAGTATGGGAAAGAGGGAAAAACAAAAAAAAAACAACCAAAACCCAATACTAAACTGAAATCAACAGAAGCACATGGAGCTTCGGGTCATTCACTGCAATGCTCAAAGCGAGAAGAAAGACCATTTGGAAGCTCTGAGTACATTAAACATTAGCTAAGAAGAGGTAAGACTTCAAAAATATAGGCAAGGGAACAGAAAGATGAAAGCTCTAAGTTGAGGAGAAAAGACACGCAGGCAATTAGAATAATAAATGAGTGACAGGAGGGCTAAAAATAAACACAAGAAAAGACATTTAAAAGGATTCAAGGTCAAAAAAATAAAGCTAAAGGTAAATATTACAGAGCATTTTAAAGCTATCAGAGGAAAAAAAAATAATTATAGCCTCAGTATAGAGTGCAATCAGACCTGCTGGTTAATTAAAGATGTTTACCCATATGTCTATTCTCAGCAGATTTGCTGGTAAGTGGTAACTGATCTAATAGTCCATATGCACCACATTTTTGTCAACTCATGTCAATAGGAAAGCACTTTTTTTTGGTGTGACACTGGGAGCTAGGACAAACAGGTTTTTACTCCTTGGTACAACCTAATGAGAAGATTCCACATGAACCAGCCTTAGACATGCGAAGCAAAAGCCGTACAAAACCAAACCAAAAATGCCCCGATTAAGCCATAGTTGGAGAACTGCCGCTATGCAGATGTGGACCCGTGGGCGGGCACCGGGCAGGACCCCTGGGCAGCCCGATCCCCTGCAGCAGGCTGGCAGCGGGGCACAGAGGTGGCAAGTACCCGCAGCCAGGACAGCAGAAGTCCAAATAGAGCCTGTGTGTCTGGACAAGATCCGCGGCTGTCGGGACAGAAGGGTGATTCAGTGAATACTTTAAGAGACTTTAACAATGCACCAAATTACCCTCTTTTTAACAAAAAGTGCAGTGATACAATGCAATTATGTATCTGCTCATCCTGCAGAGAGACAGGACCAATTTCCCTAAAGTTCCTAAATACTTTATTACATCAGTTCTGCCCGATTCAAACTGAAATTATTTTTTACAAAGAGAGGCTCATCTGAGTTGCTGCATTGTTTGAATGTTTACGTTAATTCGTTGTAATGGAAAAAGTAGCATCATTGCACCCAAAAGTGTTGGGGAACCCTGAATTTTATGCACTATATTATAAATGGTTTAACAAATACAAGCAAACATACCACCTCATTTATTCTAGTCAGTGGAGATTTCTGCATGTTTTTAATAGCTGCAAACTGCAAGAGAGGACGTGAATTACCAGCTACGACACACGCAGCACTTGAAACCCTTGTTGAACTCAATGGAAAAACCCAAAGCATTTCACGTCATGTACACATGCCATTCCCTGCAGACTCAGGGGTTCTCATAATTATACACGTGGTTTGCACTTCTTGGTGGGCTGCTGGAGCTGGACACAGCTGCTTTGCAACTGGAAAGACTGGGCAAGCGCTCCCTTATGCAGCCAGCAGCACGTGCCACGCCGCGTGGGGTTGAGGTGGGGAGATGCTGGAGACCTTCGGTTTCCCTCCTTGAGGTAAGTCTGATCTTGTTCCTTACTGTCTTGGTGTCTCAAAAAATGGCAGTAGAGGATTATTTTTTTTTCCCCTTAAGCAAATTTTTGGCATTCATTGCTGAAAAACTTCAAAATACCAGAATGCATCCTCAGTGATTAAATACCAGAGGAACAAAAACTTTTACCTCTTTCTGAGGGCTTAGTTCCATGACGTTGAGAGTGTCTAACCATGGTACATTAGTCAAATCTATGAATAATGAAGACACTCAAGGAAGATCAAGCTGCATTACCACAATGTGGAGAATCAGCATATATTTATGCCTTGTCAGCGTGCGAAGCTAGCAGCATACAGCCATCATTCCCCGTATTTGAAAATACGCCTGCTTCATGGGATGGTTTATTTGGGAGTTTGTTCTTTTGTTGATGGGGCTGATTTTTCTCTGGCTTTTCTTAGAGCTTCACAGACCACTTTGGAAACCCCAGCTCCAGCCATTGCCTCCACCAAGGAACATGAGCCTGCTTCACTGAGCAAGCTACCCCAGGCTTCAGCTGTCAGCTCAGCATGCTTTTGAAAGAAGCTTATTCAGTGCCATTGCAGGCATCAGACAGCAAAACTGAAGTTTTTGCATTTCACACTTTATTTCTTGTCTGGGGGAGGAGGGATGAGAAGGAAGGTTTTACCAGAAAGCAGCTGCAAAGCAGCAGTGGTTGGCTGCTGTCTCCTGTATCTTATTTTTAATCATAACAGCATCATGAAAAACCACTCCTTAGCTACCAACCCACAAGCCCACTTTCTAGCCCCATGCAAGAGCCGGCGGTGAGCTGGAAAGGTTGCAGAGATTTGAGTTCATCATCACGTCAGTACGCATTTCAAAGGCTTTGTTATCAAAATATTATTTATTGAGCCAGATTCTTTTACCAGTCACAACGCCACTGAATTCAATGCAGTTGCCTCTGTAAAAGAGGAATTCAGTCCATTGTTTTCACTAAAACAATGTTTAGTTTGTTTACCGCAGAGTACTCCAAGAAAGAATGCCCAAAGGTAATTCTGAAATCTGACATAAAATAGAAAGACAAACCAGCTTTGCACTTCAAAAGGAGACTTTGTTCTGTAGTACAGAATCTGTCATAAATATTGCATCAGCAGCCAGACTGCTGGCACTTAAAATTAATAGGATGGAAGTTATCAAAGCCAACATGTCAAAGTAGCGGGTACCAAGGCAGGAATCCCGTAGCACCCTGAGCAACCGGATCATATGTCACCACCGTACTCT